AGATCATTAAAGAACCCAGAGGGACAACTGGCACATTGGATCGGAAATATAGACTAGTATAAGTCTCCTAAGTTGTCTTCTCCATGGGAAGGCCCATATGACATAGTAGATCGTCTCTCAGACATGACTTTCCGAATAAAATGTGGTCGGCGAGGTTAGCCAAAGGTGGTGCATGCCAACAGGCTTTGCCATTATCATGGTTCAGGACATTTCAGTTGGGAAGAAGTGAACAATCGTTTTGAGAAGGGAAACAGTGAAGCCCTTCATGAAGTTACTACCACGGTTGTGACTATTACCGATAATAGGACCATTCCTGATGAAGCAAATGAATCTCACTTAAAGAAGAAGCCAATGAGACGGAGACCAGTACGGAAGAAGATACGTCCCGTAAAACTAAGAGACTTTGTTGAATTTTAATTTTGTTTGTAAATTCTGTACATTTAATTAAGTTATTGTTAATTATCTATTGGTTTCACTTAAGTGGCTATTGTTTGAGACAAACAATACTAAGGAAGGGGCAGTGTTATGACAGCAGAAGTCACGTGATGCTGGTAACATGTAATGAGTATCTCGAATGTTCCTGAAGGCTCGAGCGTTTGCTAGACTCGTGCTTTTATAGTATATAAGTTGGCAAATAAAGTGATGGTAATAATTGAATTGTAGACAGACAGAGATAAAGACGGACAATTGAGTCAAGCTCTGTAGTAAGTAAAGTGCATGAATCGTTCCTTGTGAATTATAGTGTGTGTTGAAGTTAAAGTGACTGTGGAAATTAAGTGTATTGCAAAGTTGAATTGAGAAAGAATAAACTGGTTTTATTTAAGAAAAGACTTGTATCACTAAAGTATCTCGGAAAGAATTTCTATGAAAAATTAACAAACGAACACAAATACACAGTGATAAAAACAATCACAACCCACAAACTTATATATTAAAAAATTATATGAATTGCAAGAAAAACTAAAAAGGTATATAAGTATTGCATGTAATAGTATCCAAAAATGCACTGGGGATACCCTGTTCACCAGCATTTATCAAATGCAGATGAAAAAAAAATGATACTTTCAAAACATATTAAGACGGGATCCTGATACTTAAACCCAAAATAACAGAGTACAGTTACAATTCACTATCCATTGCCAATAGTGGCCATGGTAACAACCATAGGCACAGGAACTAGGAGTGCTGAGGATGAAGCAGCACCCCTGGATTGATGTTAGGGGAGTGTTGTTCTTGCACTGTTCCAATCATATACATGGGTTTTGATTTTGTTTAATGGTTATCAGCACCATCACTACAAAAAATTGTTTTATCATCACTTGTAATAACCGATTTGCTTTTACCTATTAATGTCATACAGCTGGTGATATTAACCTTATAAGTTGGTATGATGACTCTGTTCATCATGACCTTTCCTAATGCAGTGGGAATGATGGATGAAACAAAACACTCTAAGAATTTAATGTCAAAGAATAAATTTTATGAAATATTGCAATTTAACCCTTCTAGATAGTTTAATGCTATGAGATACTACAATGTACCAACCACCCAATAAGCACCATAAAAAGAAAATTTATCTTTGCTCCGATATATTTATAAAGTATATTTTTATAAAAGGAACTCAAAAATCCTACCTTGAATAGTTTAATCTTTGTAATACATCACCTGGGTGATTAGTTTAATACATTTATAAAGGAAAAGCACATATAAAAAAATGTTTAATTCTTACCCTTTTCATATAAAGTTTTAGATAAGTCATCATCAGACTTTTGAACGTATTCTTCTGATTGTGGGACAAATTGGTCATTAGCAGTAGACAGCTGACCACTGTCCATAAGATGAAAACCATGAAGAACAGTCTGGATATTCTTGTCTCTCAGGGATTTTTTATGTGGCATAAATAATGAGGGCTGGTCAACTGCGTGAAGGGCATACAAAGCCTTCTTAGGAAAAGCTGCATCAGAGTTTTTAGACTGGTCCCAATCTTCAGTGTTATCAAACTTTGTATTTTCATGATCAGTGGAAATACTTGTCTGGTAAGTCTGTACTTCAAGGTTCTTGTTTTCATTATTAGACTGTACATTTCTCAAATTCTGATATATACCTGCACTAAATTTCTTTATATCACTGTTAGTAAATGGGTCAGTACTCAATGCAAGGAAATTCATTTTACAAACATGTATACCACATCCCTTGTAATGAACTGTAGGTTGTGTCTGCATCAAACCAGTATTACTTCCACAGTAATATTTAGTTGAATGTGAAATCTGTAAATCAGAATTGGAGATATGATCAGTCAAATTAGTTTTCAAAGTTGTATGACAAACATCTACATCACATCCTAATATACCAGCATCATTTTGCTCATCAGTAAACTGGGTTTTAAGGAGTATCTGACAGTCACCAACATTACTTTCTATTGTATGAGGTATATCTTGGTGGTCAATCAAATGATATTGGTGTTTCATTTGGCTGACTTCAATATCATATTTTGAAGTATCAAAATTATTTTGTTGATCAGTCATCTGAGTTTCGAAAACATTAATATCACACTTCAATGTATCAGACTTATTTGGCTGGCAGTTCAGCTGGTTTTTGAGAGATGTTGAGCAAACATTCACATCACCTTTCAGAATATTGCAGTAATTTGACTGGTAGGTCAACTGGTTTTGAAAAACTGTTTGGCTTGTGTCTACATCACATTCATATGTATTAGAAATGCGCAGCTGGTCAATCAACTGGCTTTCGACATCTGTCGGACAAATATCGTCACTTTTTAGAGCATTAAACTTATTTATTTGATCAGTCATCTGAGTTTTGTGAACTGTCTGATAAATATATAGACCATTTTTCAGAGCATTAGGCTTATATGTTTGGTAATCCATTTGTGTTTTGTGAACTGTATTACAAACATCAGTAACAATGGTGATTAATTTACTACTACATTCCAGTTTATTAGAATTTTTTGGCTTATCACTTAAGTCAGTTTGAAGACTTGTTTCATAAGTATTTACATAACATTCCAGTGAATCAGAATTATTTGGCTGGTAATTCAGTTGATTCTGGAATATTGTTGGACAAGCATGCACATCACCATCCAGAGTATTATAATCACTGTTCTGATCCATCAGCTGAATCAAACAAGTTTTTTCATACTTACCTATATCACATTCAAACATCTTATTTGGCTGGCAGGTCAAATGGTTTTGAAGAGCTGCCTGAAAAGTGTTTAAATCAGATTCAAATATATCAGAAATGTTTGGCTGCTCAATCAGCTGGCTTTGGAGAACTGTCTGACAAACATTGCCACCTTTCAGAGTATTAGACTTAAGTAATTGGTCAGTTTTCTGCATTTTTTGAACAATTTGACAAGCATCTAGGTCACTTTTCTGAGTATTATACCTATTTTTTTTGTCAGTCGTCTGGGTTATGTTAACTGTACGAAAAACACCAATGTCACTGGCATTAGGTTCAGCAAGACATTCTAGTGTAATGGAATTATTTGACTGATCAGGCAATTGGCTCTGGAGAGTTGTCTGAGAAATATCTACAACACTTTCCAGTGTATCAGTATTATTTGGCTTGTCAGTCGGCTGCACATGAAGTGTTGTCTGAGAAACATCTACAATAAATCCCATTGTATTAGTACTGTTTTGCTGGTTATCCAACTGAGCTTGAAAAACTGTTTGACATGCTCTCTCATAACATCTCAGTGTATCAGAATTTGTTATCTGATCACAAAATTGGGAGTGTGAAACTTCCACACCACCTTCTGATACATCATAAGCAAGGGTTTGAATATTAAATAAGTTTTGTGAGGCCTGTAAGCTACATTGCTGCTTATCACATACATTTGTGTGGTCAGTAAATGTATGTGAAATCCCTTTATTATATTCTTGTTCTTCATTTTGTTGCATCAGCTGAGATTGGCAAAAACCAACAATACATTCTTGTGTAAAAATGTTTATATTCTGGTCATTAAGTTGAAATTGGGATACTGTCTTCTCAGAGCCTTCTACAGTGCAGTTGTTTTTGTTAGTGGTTTTTGTTAAGTCAATTAATTTGTTGTGAAATGTTAAGACATCTTCATCATTATCTTGTGCTCTAGAATCATTTGTTTTTTCAATAAACTGAGTCGGAAGATCTTTCTTTGAAATGACTACACCACATTCTAGTTCATTGTTGTGGTCAGTACACTGAATTTGGAGTTTTGTCTTATATGTATTGGCATCACAACCATTACAGTATTTGGTGTGGTACATAAACTGTACTGGGTGACATGTGTGAGAAACATCCATACTGCATTTCAGTTTATCATAGTTGTTGGTCTGATCACAAGACTGTGTTTCAAAATTAGTTACTGTGATTTCTACATTACATTCTTGCATATCAGTATCTATAATCTGATCCTGAGAGTTTGTTGGACATATATTTGCAACAGAGTTCTTAATTTCATCAGTAGTTTGGGCTTCAAAATTAGTTACTGGGATTTCTATATTACATTCTTGCATATCAGTGTCTATAATCTGATCCTGAGAGTTTTTTTGACATATATTTGCAACAGAGTTCTTAATTTTGTCAGTAGTTTGTGCTTGAAGAATGTTTTGACAACCATACATACCAAACTCCTCGTTTCCATCAATACACTGGGCTTCAAGAGTTGTTTTACACACCTCAATACCACAGTCTTGAAATTGTTTGTTTAATGGCTGATGTTTTGTTTTTACATCATCAGTAATAGAGCTGCTATCTATATCACAATGATCTTGAACTCTTATTGTAATAGTATCTTCAATGTTTTCTTCTATCTTTACCTTTTTCACAGGAATTTGATTATCTTGAGAAGAACTAATTAGAAATCTTTTGGAAGTCAAACTAGTATTTTTAGACAGCTGGTTATTACTATTTCTTTCTTCAATCTCATTATTTCTAAAATATAAACACTTCTGTCTAACTAAAAGAGTAGCTTTACTGTTGGTTTCAGGTGGCTCACAATGAAACATTTCACTTCTTTCAGTTGTTTCAGGTACAATGACATCTATGTTATTATTCAACTTTTCTAATAATGTAACATATGTATCATTTTTCTCCCCTTGAGAGTAGTTGAGTATGGTTTGGAAATTTGTTTCATCTTCTTTTTCACTGCCATTTACTAATTCTCTTCTCTGGAAATCTTTGTCTGTATTGTCACAATTTTGTTTTTGTGAAAAACTGGTTGTATTTGAGTCTCCAGCATCACTGTTTGTTTCTGAACAGTTACTCATTTGTGTGGAATTATCTAATAGAGATTTACTATTACAACTGTCAGCTGTACAATCTAATTCACAATTCACTGTCATTTTTTCACCAACATTCACATCATCATATTGATGGTGATTAGATACACTTGATGAGTCATCACAGTCATCAAGCAGTGAACTGATGTAACTAATCTTCTTGTTGCTACTGGTACTATCCATACCTTTTTCAAGACCTTTAACATCATCCTGTATTGTCTTAAGCCAAGATTTTCCAGTTTCTGCATCTGCTGATTGACCTGCTAATTTAATTTTATTCCTTCTGTAAAGAGATGCTAATTCATCACATTCATGAAGCACACTTCGTTTAGAAAACTTAGAATATGCATTTTTGACAACAGCTGGCACCTCTTGCACGGTCTCCTTTACATGGTTACTATAAACACTGTCAGATTCATTACAGGAAAAATCACCTTTGCAATCATCTATTGTTACAGTGGTTTGCTCATAAGGAAATATGTTCTTATTTACTTTACTTCTTGCAACATTTTTTGTAGAAAATGCATTTTCATGAACAGTATTTCCCATACAGGTATTATCTTTAAGAAATGGTGAAGATACACATTCTTCTTCAGTATAAAATTTATGGTTTTCATCAAATTCACATGGATGATATCCATTATCATTCTTCAGTTCCACATTTGCATCAGGTACGCTGCAATCACTAGTCATTTGCTCAAAGAAAATACTCCAGTCTACAGGCGAAGGACATTCCTTAAGTTCCTGGAACCCCTTAAGCTCATCAAGTGGGGATGGGCTGCAATAAACAGTATGTATAATTAGCAATATAATTAGAACAACGCACTAACTAAAACTACATTCTGTGTTACTGTTCAAAATGAAAATCAAACATGTCATTTTCAAAATGAATAAAAAACTTTAAACTATGCAGTGGTGTAGCAAGGGTTCTCAACACCTGGGGGCAAAGACAATTTTGCACCCCCACCTCTGAAATGTTTTGATTATTTGTTTTGTGACTCATTACCCATTTCATGACAATAGCATAAAGAATTAATTACCGCACTCGATTGATAGATGATAAAATCTTTCTCCAAAAATGCAAAAGTACAAGAAAATCAAATGTAAGCATGCGTTGCAGAATATTATAAGCACCACATTTTGTTTCAGCCGTGTTGCCACTCTCACTTAATTGCTCTAACAGTCCTAGCAATTCACATGAAAAACTGGATACAACTTTTACTGCCTTTTCTCTTGCACTCCACCGTGTTTCTGATTCATGCTTGACAGAGATCTTAAGCTCCTGCTGCAGTTTGTCCCATTGAGTTGTTGAATGAGCAAAGAAATTATAAATGGCTTCAATTATACCAAAAAAAATAACTGTTGTTTCCTGACTTGCAGCATGAAGACATGCTAAGTTCAAACTATGGTTGCCACAGTTTATAAACACTGCTTTTGGATTTTTGTTCAGAATTCTTTGTTGAACACCTGACAGATGAGAGCAGCATTATCCTAACATTGTGAACAACAATTACTCAATAAAATTCCATCCGCTTCTAATTTTGTGCTTATTGTTTTCTCAATATTGGCAGCGTCTTTTTCCTTTATCTGTACAAAGTCAATAAATGACTCTTTGACTTCTACTTTTCTTGTCTTAAAGTCAATGTCAACAAACTGAATCACTTGAGCCAATTGCTCACGATGGGCTAAATCATGTGTGAATCAAACAGAATACCATAGTATTTCTTTCTACGAATTGCTGGCAAACAATGATTTCACACATGTGAAGTCATGAGATTTATAAACTCATTTCGGATTTCAGGAGAAAGATAAGATGTTGACGTTTGCTTGTTTTTAACACGCTCTAAATGCTCTCTCATTACTGGATCATACTTTGCTAAAAACTGCAAAAGGTTATATCCTCATTGTGACCATGAAATGCAAGATTCTGAGAAGCTAAATATTGTGTACAATCCAGCAACCATTGCAGTACATCTCTCCATTTATTTTTTCTTGCTAAATTTACCTTTGCAGCTCTTCATCAATGCCACTTTGAAGACGAATTCGGCGATCTGTTTCTTTCCAAGCAGCAAATGACTCACGATGACTGTCACTATTTTCATGGGCATTTAACTTTTCAATTTTTTTCCACCCTGTGTTTTGAAAGCAGACCGACTATCGGATGTCATACATGTAGATGAAAAAAAAAAAGACAACAAAAGCAGTATGCTGCTTTATGTAGAGGTGAATACACCAACCAGGAACGATTGACCTCTTATCCAATCAGAAGGTATTGCTTGAACCAAAATGCAGTCATAGAACGCTAATCTTTGGCATCAAATGGACCTTCTTTATGTTGAAATTCATGTGCTCCAACTTTAACAATCGATGTGCATGTGTTACAATTACTGAGCCTGTTGTATCAAACTTCATAAATCCAATACCCCTGTATGTTAAAATATTTACTAGGTCATCCTCTTTTATCTTAGCAACACTATTCTGTGGATTTGTTTCTGACAAAGTGGAATCCTCTTGTTTATTATTATTGTAGCTTTCAACAGGACAGAGAACAGTTTTTCATTGTTTTCTTTTTCAAATGAAATAGCATGTTCACAATCTTGCACTTTGACCTCTTTGCTGCCATCAAAAGGAACAGATACTGGTTTAATGGTGTCATCACTTCCAGCAAGGAAAGCTCTCATCAATTTGCTTGACTCCACCATCGAAGCTGCAAATTGTGCACGTCTTTTGCATCCCTGTGCCCCACTTTATTTTTTCAACATAATGGGCTAAAAGAATAAATTAATAAATACTGACTATCTGGTTGCAACATGCAAATTGTCAGATGAAAGGAAGCATTCTACTTTCCTAAGTTGCTAACCACAAATTATATTTAAATTATACAATTATAGTTCCAACTCAGGACTAGTTAGGCACATCTGGACCTGGTTTCACTTTAACTGCCATTATTTAGACCACCC